TAAAATTCGATTAACATTACTATTCAGCATTAAAGCAGTCTTAAAACTCTAAAACATTTACAAAATATCCTTGGGGCATTCTTAAAATACTCAAAATGCCATAAAATGGTCTTGAGAGAGTCGCAAAACTCTCAGATGGCATTGAAGTGTGTAGTGGTTAGAATAGTTCTGCAATCTTAAGACACTAGAATATATCAGTAATAAGTATTTTTTACGAGTATCGGAGGACGACTGATGAATTTAAGGCAGAAAAAATATCGTACGACAATTTCATCCCATAACCGAATTTTTTTCTGAAAATTTTAGCCATATGCTTTTTTTCATATTGGAACTATTTTGAAATATTTAAAGGTTATAAATGCTTTTTGGAATTTCTTTATTTTGATCAACATAATATAATTATATATGTTCATGTATATATTATTGTTTAATATTTAGTTATTAATTATATTCATTAATTGTACGTCACTCGTTGTGTTCAAACCTATATGAAAACGCGCCTTTTATGTTCACGAGTATTAGCGCCGTCTATATCGTTTTCGCGCGAACGAAGAAGAAGAAGGAGATGACGGCCATTATTCTAATCCGACACGTGTACTGCGCACCGATCCCGTTTGGATTTTTTTTGCGATTCTTTTTTACGTCTTATTAAGTATTTTGTATTCTGAGTTTATTGAATAAATAAGTGTTTGTTAGTAACAGTCTAGCATCATTTTCATGATTTAACGTACAGTTCGGTACAATTATTAATCGTCGTCGCTATCCTCATTGATGACCGGTGCAATTTTCTGGGCATCGAATAATTTGGATAATAATTCAGCAGGCTTGATAATTTTCGCTAAATATCTAAACTAAACGAAACTAATGGCGAATTCTGCACGCTATCTTATGAGCCTTTTAGGGCTTTATGGCTACTTGATATATATTTTATGGCGATTTTTTGCCTTTTTAGGCGAGTTTTAATTTTTTTAGGCATGATGCCGGGTTCAAAAAATTCTGAAAAAATTCAGGGTGAAAATAAGTTTAAAAATACATGTTTTTGAATTTTTGCTAGGTTGCCAATCATAAACTAACAAAAGGGGGTCACTTATAAATTTTCAGGAATTTTTTAAAAATTATGGTTAGGTTGGAACATCTCGCAAAAAATATTTTCAAATACCTTTTGATACGTTTTGTATGCTCAAATTTTTTTAATAAAATTGTATCTGATAGGTCTCGTGACAAAAATAAAATATGAAAATACTTCATAAGGTAATATCTCCGAAAAGGAGTGGTGTACGGAATTAAAAATTTCTCCAAATTCTTTTTTCGGATCAACGAACTTTTTGGTGACATACTGGTCATAATCCGTTTGGGGGCCGATTGACCCCTTCTTAACCTGCTAGAGCCTTTTATAGGTATATAGTTTGTTTTTTTAAATTATACGTACGTTAAACATATTTGGCTCTTTGCCCTTTTTCTTATTTATATTGTTTTATACATGTTGAACCTTTTCGATACTTATTTTCAATTTATTTGTTATCCGCAGTTTTGTATAGCATTATTTGAGGGTGCGTTCCACTTAACGATCGCGTGTATCATCTCATCCTTATTTAATATTCGATTACAAGAAGGACAAAATGACCTCGCGAGCGTTGCGAACGTTAAGTGGAACGTACACTCAGTTTTGGGCATTTTGTCGAATATAATTAACGAAAATTAGGCAACATAACAGACTTTTCTCCCGAGATTCTAGGAACTTTTTTAAAGTTGGTACCCTTTCAGCTCTTCGAAGCCAGAAAGCAAGCGAGACAAACGATTTTCGAGAGAGACACTAAACCAACTGAGCACACCTAGAGGCCTAGAAAACAGAGATGCGACATTGCGTCGGTTGGGTTAGGTAACCACCGCCATTTGAATTCAATATAAGTGCTCTTGACCAATAAAGGTTGATTTATACTGGCCGTAAACTGTTAACTTATGCCGTAATCTGTAAAAATTGACCAATCACAGTCGAATGAGAGGTATATATCTCTGAAGGAAAAGGTATTAACATTTTTATATATTTGTTTCATAATAAATTCTTCTATCTTTGTTGAGTTTGTAATGTTTACTTATGGTTACATTTTGTTACAAGATATTCATTAGTTCTTAAATTATTTAAAAACGTATTTTTCCTGTAAACTTTAAATCAAAATAAAATAAAATATCTGACGAAAATGCTGCTAACATAAGTTGTTTGGAAACAGCAGTTTTAAATTTACCGCTTGTTTGTGTGACGTCACACTTTGACAATTTTAATTGGTCGCATGCGCGTGAGCATACCCTTATTCTTATACCATGAGCACACCATGTATACTTCCACCATGGCAGCAGTTGAGCAGTGTGTTGTGTTGTGATGTTTGGTATCGTCAGCAATCGTCAACATTTAATGTCAAATATGTTTTTGTTATTGCATTAGAATTTGTTGCTTCGCTAAATTTTAAATATATACTTGATTCACTTAAAATATGCATAAAAGGGTGTATGCTAATATGTATGCATATATGTATGCACATATGTATGCACATATGTATGCACTACAGCTATAAGTTTCGGTCCAATTCTCCTCTTTGCTCGTTATTTTGACATTTATCCTGGTAATGTTTGACGTCGATTTAACATAACAAAAACAAGTAACAATAAATGACAATTTGAAAAGTTTTGTTTTCTCTTGGCATTTTTAATGCCGATATAGGAGATTTATATACAAAAGTGTATATCGGGATTCGTATACAAATTGAAGAGAAAATTCTGCGACGTAAGAAAAGAAAAATACTGATAATTTTTTAATCATCATTAGATTCAAGATACGGTATGTAAGTATGTGAGCTGTTGAATTTACTTTAATAATTTACATAGGTTTTACGATAAAAAATACAAATGTGCACTTTTTATAGTGATTGTACACTCAAGCCGTAAAACCTTCGTAAAACCCACCAGACACAAAAAACAGCAGCAAAGCGGAAAAAAGAAAGTATCATAATCGATTAAAACTATTTCTCGATAAATTTCGGGTTACAAACAACCTGTAAATTTAACATTAATATTAATGTGTAAAATTACTTCGCAACATGAGCAATAACGATAATGAAACTATCTAATCTGATATATGTGTGCATGCGCGTGCGTGCCTTGCGATACTGTACAGTTCTGTCGTTTACATGTTCCAATTAATTTGTACTTTGTATGTATGTATTAAGTTTGACAATCAGCCTTATTCAGAAAACAGTTGAACGTAAAGGATCATTTAAGACTGATCGTTCTGTAACATTAACTATTCGTAGTCGTGTGTAAAAAAAAAAAATTAACTATGATATTATTAATTATTATTAGACCTTTCATATATGCTTTTACATTTAACTTAATCAATTTCATGTACACCAGTTTTTGATATGCACTAAAGTTATTGCAAGAAATCAAGTTTGTTATTATAACAAAATACATTAATTGAACCCTGATTAAGATCTGTTTGCAGTGCTTGAAAATCTCCAAAATTTTACATTTAAAATAAAATTGATATTCAGATATCGAAGAAAAAACAAAGCTACGATGCTAAATGCAAAAAATGCAAACAATGTGCAAACAAATGATAATCTGATTAGATTTTAAGCATGCTACACACGATTTGATTTACTTGTGCAAGTTGCTTGCGCAAACAATATCAAATAAATGTCCATATTTGCTCAGATTGTTTGTACAAGTTAAAATAACTGTGTACTGCAGTTTTTTGACACTCTATATGTTAAAACAAATTTGCACAAGCAAAAGTATACTTGACAAGTTTACTCGAACGTGTGTATCTGGTTTAATGAATGAATATAAAACAGCGAACATTAAAGAGAGAATTAGTGTGTGTGCATTGCAAAAAGAATCTTCAAAAATGAACATCAAACTGCGACAAAATTTTTACAGTTTTTTTTTATAGATGAACGTGTGAAGATATATCAAAACACATAAAAATGCCGAGTTCGTATCTATATACCATTAATAATGAAGGACGTGTGTTCGGATTATCAACATCAGGAAATATGTGGCGTGAATTTATGTATTTAGGCCTTGAATTTAAACAATTGTCAGCTGTACCACATTTTATGTGGGCTATTGGTGGTGATCGTCAAGTATATGTTCATGTTCATGGCTTAGACATACCAATTAGAATTAAAGAAGAAACATATGAGAATGAGGTATGTGCAAATTTCTAAAATATATACCATCATAATTTAACAATTAATAAATAAGATAGCATATAAATCAATGACAATTGATAACAATAAACAATCTTAGCGATGGCTGCCTTTGGAAGGTTTTTCTGGAAGACTACTTCCAACTGACAGATACAATTTTTCTAATCAAGATGGTACAGTTGATCGGGGTAGAGACAAAGTAAAATTACCATCAATGGCATGGCAATGGGAAGGTGACTGGCAAATTGAAACAACGTTAGATGGTCAACCATTAGATCATGATGTAAATACCAAGTTCCTATTACTTATAAAATCTATTTTGCTGTGTTATGTGTTTCCTTTTCTGTCTTAATTTACAATTTTATATAATTTAATATTATCATGCTCGCGCCTTGCCGTTTCCGAGTGAGTCGAAATGAACGGGCAGAACAAAATTGAATTTGCAAGTTTGCACATTATATATAGCAGAACGGTTGCGCGAGTACAACAATATATATAAAATAAATCTGTATATAATATCGCTTAATTATCGCTTTCAAAAAAGAAAGGTAACTTTTTTGTGACATTTATATAAGTAAATTTTAAAATGTAATTGCAAACATCCGAAACATCTTTATAGTGAAGACTTAATATTTTCTATGTTATTTTTACAACAAATAGAATCTGTATAAAGTTATGCATTAAATATATTTTTTATGCATTCCGCAAGTGTTATATTTTTCATAAGATTTTGTTTATGTATAGATTTGTTAACAGTTGTGCCCACGACCAAAGAAAATCTTATGATCACAGAGAATCTGATATTTTAATAGGGATGGACATACGCAATTGACTTCCCAGCAACATATACTACAAAAAAGCAGTGGAAGTCTTGTGTAAGAAGACGTAAATGGGTTCGTTATCGAAGGTATAGCGCTATGAATTCATGGTGTGCTATTGCACCTCTACATAAAGATCCAACCAAGGTAACGAAGAAATACTTTTTTATCTATTTTTTATTTAATATAACGTGTATATACACGTACATATAGTATACATATGTATGCATAAGCGCCACATATGTTTTCAGGAACCTTTTATCGATATAGCAGTGGGTGGAAATCAAATGCCTGGAAGTAGTTCTGGTAATTTAGTAGTCTGGGCGGTAACAGCTCATGGAAGGGTATAATTCTTTTTTTTTTAATTAACACTCGGGGAAAGAGATGTAAACATTTAAAAAATTAGATTATTTGTATCAATTTATGTAGATCATGTTCCGTATTGGAACGAGTACAACTTGTCCTGAAGGACAAAGATGGAGCTCTATCAAATTGGTAAATGGCTATGAAGTATGTCAAATTAGTGTTGGAGCAACTGGTCTTGTTTGGGCTGTACTTATGGTAGGCAAAGCATTAATTCGTACAGGCGTGACAAGAGACAATCCAATGGGTAAATGAACAAGCGATAATCTATAGTTACATTGAGATATTCTGATTCTTTGTTAAAATGGAGAAATATAAATTAAAGGTGAAAATTGGTCGGAAGTGGAACCACCCCAGAAAGACTTGAGATTGGTACAAGTTAGTGTCGGTACTGATGCAGTATGGGCTATAACGCATGATGGCGGAGTATGGTTTCGAAAAGGCATTCAAGGTGAAATAAGCGGTGTTTGTGAACAATTAGCCACTGGAACCGGTTGGGTAGAAATGTTAAGCAAAATGGCATTAATATCCGTTGCTCCTAATGATCAAGTAACGATGTTAATTAATTTGCAACTTATATCGTAAAGAAAATAGAAAATTGTACTTTGAATATATGTATGTATGCACTTTTATTAGCTAACTTTTTATTTTTGTACTATAAAGGTATGGGCTATTGGCTATGACGATCGATGTTTGTACTATCGTACTGGTATCACTCGCTCTGAATTGACAGGAAAACGATGGAAATTAATAAACGCACCGCTGCAATTGAGTAGAACAAGTAGTAACGCTAGTTTGTCATCTAACAACAGACACAGCACTTGCGGCACACCGCAACAGCAACGTCATCAGAGTTGGAGTTCTTTGGTAGGAATATTAACACTGTCTATCATTCAATATCTAAATCACTTAATAACAAAATAAAGTTTGATGAATTTGTAATATTATTGTATGATATATAATTATATGATAAATACAGAGATATATATATATATGTATATATATAATATATATCATTGTACATATGATATTGAATTTCAAGTCTTTTCTTTACATATAGAATCGCCCTCATAGCACTGGCGAAGGTACAATGTTAATTAGAGAATGGGAAGAGCAATCACGTTCAGCACCAACACCCACATCTTTAAAATTGTGGCAACGTACCGGTGATGGTATATCCGCAAAGAATACTCAACAAACATCTTTTCAAGATATATATTTAAATGAAGAGAAGAAGAGGTAAAAGTTTACGTTTATCTTTATAACAATAACTAAACGATACATAATAATAAGAATATAAGTGTAATTGTTCCGTGTTATAGATCTGTAGATACAAGTGATTTAAATGAAGCTAGTGTTGCTAATATAACTATATCTAATGAATCTTTAGCAAAAAGTGGAGAATCGATAATTGTCTCGGGAAAAGGAATGGGCAGTACTGTCAAGGTTAAAATGTTTTTACAATTGAGATTTAAAAATATTGATAGGTACACAAGGAAGAAAAATCCTTTATAACGAATCGTTTATTTATTCTAATAGATTAATCCGGCTGCTTGGAGTCCTGTTCATTCTGTCGGTTCCATGGTAGGTGTTGAAGCGCATCCAGAAACTGATGGAAGTGTATTTGATCCAGATTTGACTGGAGATTCTGGAGTGTATGGCGAAGATGAAAGTGCAGGGATAATATATTGGGCCGAATGTGATGTATTGTGGTATAAAGTGGAAGCTGGGGCATGTTTTGTTGATCCAACAAATCCACCCAAATGGTAAAATATTGAACTTTATTTAAATAATGATCATATTAATAATAATCTTAGTTATATATAAGGTAATTAACATTGGAATTTTGTAAGAATTTAGAATTATGCCAAAACTATAAATTTATGTTTTTTTATTGAATAGGATTGCTGATAGTAATGGTGCAATGCAAGGAGAAATTGGTGAACTGTGGAGAATAAACATTTTAGATGAATTAAAAGCAAGATTAAAGAAAATACCATTTGATTCGTCAATAGTATATGAAAAAGCAGTTGAAAAGTAAGTAAAAAATAAGATATACAGTTTTATATGAAACGTTTTTTTACTTGATGGTTTGTTATAGATCATCTTGGGTGAAAAGTGGCGATGGTAAATGTAAAATTAAAAACGGCAGTTTGTACGAAGATTGCAAGATTGAACTGGAATGGATAAGCAGCGATATTGGACTATTAGATTCTGGAACTTTAATCATATTAAATTCGGATGGTGTAACAAGCATAGTATGTTGATTATATTAAAATCAAAATATTTCTAAATTTATAATGCAAATATATAACGCAGTAATGATAATATTACAGATACAATTTCCCGTCTCGAAAATTACGTGTGTCGTTTGCTGCAGTGAACCAGGTAATCCAAGGGTAGCAGTTCATACTCCTAAATTAAGTCGTTCAAAAGTCATTAGGTTACAATTTGCGAGTGATACGGAATTGGAAGACTGGTTGGCGCATTTAACTTCTGGTAAATACACACATAAAAATTAGTACATATCAGAAGCATATAGGAAGAGTAAAGATATTCTTTTTATTTTTTATTACAGTATCTTGCCAAATGAATAATGTATATGGTAAACCTGGTCCTAATTCCATTTGGACCACAACTGTGTTGGGTGACGTGTATGTATTCGATCCTGCAGTTGCAGAGGTAAAGCATAGACACGCCTATATTACATGTCAATTGAAAAGCATGTTAATTCAGTATTATTGTGTATTATATATTATGTACCACATTATTTTATTGTTTAGGAATGTCAATCATCTGAAGATGGGTACATACAAGAAATGGATATTGCTGGTAAAAATTTACCATTCGAAAGCATATTACAAAATGGTTTTGGATACGGTAGTACTCTAAGAATTACAGTATGCGTTCATGATGACGCTGACAGGTAAATTAAACAAGTCTAACAGCTATATATCTCTTGTTCAATTTTAGAGAGAGAGAGAGAGAGAGGGAGGGGGGGAGAGAGAGAGAGAGAGAGAGCAACTTGTGTTAATCATAGCTGTTTATTCCAGATTGTCTTTTAATCTCGTCTGTTACACTACAACATTCGTAAAACAAAAAACTGTGACAGACAGTCATGACATCGCTTTGCATTTTAATCCAAGACTCAAAGAAAACATTATTGTACGAAATACATATCAAAATGGTCAATGGGGAGATGAAGAAAGAAATGGAAGAAGTCCATTGAAAGCAGGCTGTGACTTTATATTATACATTGTTTGCGAAGAACGTGGTTATAAAATTCATATTAATGATAACGAATATACTTTTTATAGTCATCGAATACTTCCAACCAATATTACACATTTACGTATTAAGGGATTAATGACTTTATGTAGTCTCACATATAAATCTACATCTGTAAGTGAAATATTTTATTACTGAAATATGGTTTCTTCTTTATTTTATAATGTGTTCATCATCTTTACAATTATAATGCATGCGTGCGGACATATTTTACTGTTATATACCTCATACAGATAATTGTTGAACCCATTACAATGTTTTGGAGACAAATTGGTGGACATTTGAAAAAAGTTGAGACATGTTCTGTGGGTGTTACTTGGGGCATTGGTTATGACAATACTGCTTGGGTATATACAGGTGGTTGGGGAGGCGCGTTTCTCAAAGGTATTTCATGCTGATTTTTATAATAACAGATGATCTAATAGGTTTTGTACAAAAGAGAAAAGAAGAAAAGAAAAATTAGTACTTTCTAAATTTCTTGGAATGAAATCTCACTCCAAAAGAGTTAAAATACTGTTACTATTAAAAAAAGAATGAAAAATTTACAATTTTTGGAGTAAGATTTCACATTTTTTTAATAAATCTCACTCCAAATAAGAGTGAAAAAATCTGCCACTCTTATTCCAGAGTGCAAATTTTTTACTATTTTTTCAATAGTGACAGTATTTTAACTCTTTTGGAATGCAATTTTAATCCTAATTTAGAGAGTACAATTATTGAAAATTTTTGATACGATGATATTTGGATCGAATTAATCTATAATTTAGTGCAAATATTGTTAATATGAAAGAAATTATATAGGCCTAGGAACCAGCAATATCGGAATAAATACGATGGTAGATATCCATAATTACTATGTATATGAAAATCAACGTTGGAATCCAGTAACTGGATATACCGCACATGGACTTCCAACAGACCGATATATGTGGAGCGATGTAACTGGACGGCATAAATGTACGCGAGAGCATACAAAATTATTGTCAATGCATTGGCATTGGGTAAGTGGACGCGAAAAGAATCTTTTCAAAAATAAATTGAAACTCTGAATTCGTTAGAGTTTTTTTGATAGAAAATAATGTGAAAAAAATACTGTTTACTATGACGACATATTTTTTGAATTGAGATAAGAGTATTTTTATATTTTAAAGGTATCAGATTGGATAGTTGACTTTCACACACCCGGTGGTGTTGATAGAGATGGATGGCAATACGCTACTGATTTCCCATCGCAATATCACGGTAAGAAACAATTTACTGACTACGTTCGAAGAAGACGATGGTTTAGAAGATGTCAACTGACGACAAGCGGACCTTGGCAAGAATTGGGAAATACTAAACTCATTGATGTTTCTATATATGTACGTTTTGTATTTTTACCACTATTATCTTTACACATTTCGAAAGGAATATATTTTGTGTCTCTTATCTCTGTTAATTACAATAGGTATCTGGAAAACCTGGCACGGATAATCCTATTCATGTTTGGGCGGTTGCTGCAAATGGTGAAGCTTTGTTCAGACGAGGTGTCTCAGAATCTTGTCCAATGGTACAACTATTTAAATTATACTTTTTTTACATACAATACAATATGATATAAATATAATATAATTCATGCGTGTGTTTAAAATTTTTATTGATTACGCATGTAAGAGTATATAAGATAATTTTTAATAAACTAAATACTTAATCGTTAAGTTATACATTTAGCGATTTACATAGACCTGTTTGACATGTTTTACATTTACATAGGGAGTATCATGGGAACATATACCAAGTGATCAGCCCTTAATTAGCATATCGTGCGGTCCATGTGGACAAGTTTGGGCTATTGGAAAGAATGGTTCCTCCTGTTGGAGGCTCGGTATTAGTGCTACAAAACCAACTGGTATAAAATTTACAGAAAATTATCACGATATATATATATATAATAATTATAATCACTACAATATCTCTATTACGTAATTTAAGATATTTAATTAAAAACTTCAAGATAATCGATATTTTGTAAAAAAAATTAGGTATACAATGGCAAAACGTCGAGCCACCTTCAGGCGCTCAATTGAAGCAAATTTCAGTAGGACATGATGTTGTATGGGCTTTGGATACGATCGGTCGATTGTCAGTACGTCGAGAAGTACAATCCAATGTTTTTCCTGAGGGAACTCATTGGCAAACATTACCTGCTATGCCAAACGATCCTATTCATATAGGTATCAAGGAGCTGCACTCTTCCTTCATTTCCTTCTCTTTTCTATTTTATTATTTAAAATAACATGTTAACACATTCGTAGATATGTCAGTCGCAAATGCTAAACAAGGATTCCGACATGTATCCGTTTCGAGGGAGCAAGGACAAGTTTGGGCAATTTCAGGAGCTGGTATTATTTGTCGAAGAATTGGAGTTACTCGTGAAAATCCAGCTGGAACCGGATGGGTGACTGGTATAGGGGTAAGTAGCAAAAAAAACAAATTTTAACGAACTGAAGATTAATTTAAGAGTACAGAAAATAGTCTAATATTTGCATGAAATTGTAATAATAAAAGTTTGAAATTTCAATTTTTCCTAATAATTGCAATTCTATTGCAATTATTAATATATATAGATAAATAATTATAATACTATGTTTTAATACCTATTGACAAAAGTGGTATTACCTTTTATACTTAAAATAATTGCATCACTTGAGCGTAATATTAAATAGTAATCTGGAAAAATTGCATTTATTTCAATTCTCTCTCATAATTCACATGATATTAAATGAGAAAAATAAAATTTTGATTTATTCCTACCACAGGCAAACTGGCAAAACATAAGTCTTGGAGGATTTGTAAATAAGACAAAATAATCTTTATTAAAATAGGTATATTAAAATACTGCGTTATATAAATAAATGCGTATATTAAAAAGCTACAATAATATTAAATAATTAATAATTTTATGATTGCATTGTAAAGTGTAATATCACGTGCGGATATTTATGAATACAAAGATGTCCATGCTAATAGCGTTTTCGATTAACCGACTCGACCCGACTCCGGGTCGGGTTGACTTCGATCACAAGTTCGATTTGAAACTCTTAACCGACTCGACCCGACTCCGGGTCGGGTTGACTTCGATCACAAGTTCGATTTGAGACTCAATACCTGCATTGACCTGCACAGTGTCATGACGGAAGAATTGTCTTCTATAACCTTAATAATAATACCTCCGAAATAATCAGAAATTGTTTATCTTACCTACTTTAAATGATATGTACCATTTATCGACTCGCACAATTTTCGTAAGATAAACAATTTCTGATTATTTCTGAGGTATTATTATTGAGGTTATAGAAGACAACTCTTCCGCCATGACACTGTGCAGGTCTTCTTCTTCTTCTTTGATTAATGGTTCCCGTCTCCAAACAATAAAATAGGAGGTCGATACGGCCAGGTCACGTCTTAATGTTTTAACAGTACTGATTAGAGTAGAAGGTAAAACTTGTATTAAATAGGTGCGAATATTTGCGCCTAGCCGGAGCAAGCGGCTCCGAGCAGATATCCTCGCGTCAGTGTGCCCGAGTGAGAGCGGAGCAGTACTCCGCTGGGATGGAAGGAGGGGGCAAAGGAGGCAGGGCAGCGCGCCTGCGCAGGACAATGAGGCGCGAAAGTACGAAACCCCTAAAAAGGTCTACCGCAAGATTTACTAAAGCTGAGAATGAGTATGAGAATGAGCTGAGAATGATCTGCAAAGGCAAGCGGAAGGCTTAGCGATAGCATGCGCGAATTTAGTAGTTCTTTCGTTAGATGTAGAAGCGCGGTCAATGAAGCGACGCAGAAACCGCGCCGCGTCCCTGGAGTACGGACAGTCATAAATTAGATGCAAGATATCTTGTCTAGGGTCACCACAAGGACAGAAAGGCCAAAAATCAGGCATGAGTGCCGTTGTAGGAGCCCGAAATGGCAGGTGAAGTGGGAGAGACAGAAGGAGGACACAACCTTTCGACAGCGTCACGAATCATGTCAGCCCTATCATTATTTTTATTCAAAGACGGAGAATTCACCGGAATGAGGCAGCGATTACGAAATCTTTTGAGCATACGCTATATATTTACCGTAAGAGTCATCATATCAAGAGAGGCGCAAAACGATTTCCAGCCAGCGCGCTTAGCTCTTCTTAGAATTTTACGAGTCTGCGAAACCACGGAACGATAATAAACATAATTATCCCACGAGGGGCAGTGTCTGAACGATTTCAGAGCATTTCTGCGTTGTTCGACGGCCTTGGAACAGTCAAGAGTCCACCACGGAGATGGTGGAGGGCCTTTTTTAGAGAAAGCCCTACAAGAAGCTTTATTCGTGGGATAGGGTTTAGAAGGAGAAAAGCATTCATAACTCTCGGAAATCAGCTCCATGAAAGTATTATATTGGGAGATAGGATCGTCAGGATTAATATCCTTGATTTTTTGAGAAATAGAGTTGGCGTTAATATGAAGATATCGCTGTACTAATTTCCATTCATCCTTGGATAATTTGATTTTATAAGAGAAAACCGAAGAGATACGAGTCATGCAATTGACCTGTACTTCAATAGGATAGTGATCGCTGCCGAAAAGGTCAGAAGATATAGTAGTATCACAAAGAGGGGAGATGCGGGGAGAGGCGATAGCCAAATCAATGATAGAGGAGCTAAAGAGAAGGAAATATGCGATGGAGAGGAAGGGGGATTAAGAATCAGTAAGTGATTGTCTTCTATACAAACGGCGAGCGCACGACCAGCAGCATTAGTCCTAGTGCCTCCCCACAATGGATGGTGCGCATTGAAGTCACTAAGAAGGATGAAAGATTCATATTGTGTCAGAACGGAGGAGAGAGCAGCAAAAGAATTAGCAGAGGCGGGAGCGTTAGGGTGTCTGTAAATACCCATCAATAATAGACGTGAATTGTTAGTAGATATTTCAATACCCAGAGCTTCAAAGGAGTCATCAAAGACATTAGATAAATTCACCTGAGAGTATGAGATGGGATTACGAATCAAAACCAACATGCCTCTAATATCAGCCTGATTGGCATCGATGCGCAAGCAGTCAAAGCCTCGCACCCTAAAGTCACGTGTGGAACTGACGCAAGTTTCAGTAAGAAATAAAATATCTACGGTTTCGGCCATCTTTTCAATATCAGCCTTTTTCCCCATGGCACCGCAACAGTTCCAAAAAAAAATTTTAATAGGCATTGTAGGCTGCATTGTGAGTTAAAAAGTTCTGAAGGGAGTCGGAAATGTACTGTGTGTCAGTACTGAATAATGCGGTGAGTACCGTGCTGGGAAAGGAATTAAGAATTTTAAGAACAAATGAGATGATTAGTAGGAAATTAGAGGGGCCATCATGATTATCAGTCGGGGGAGAAAAGGAGGAAGAGGGTGGGTAAGTTCCAGGAGTAATGCCGGAAGTGCTATTATAATCTAATGGAGAGTCTGAATAAGGCATTCTGCCATTAGGCGCAAACAGAAGAGAGTTATGCACATCCCGAAGGGAATTGAAATTCTTAGGAGCATTACGATCTGAGGGTTTCTTAGAGTTGATGGAAGAAAGATTCTGGTAGTTGCGGGGAGCATATGTATTCACCCGTACAGGATGTTCATTAGAAGGCGAGGAGTTAAAACGGTTCATAGAGGGGGTCGTTGTGGGTAAGCTTGCGACTGCAGCGTAAGATATACCCGCGTTCAGTGGTACTGAACCGGGTGTGGGAGACGGGGAGACCGGCACCTCAGATGTCAAGTCTTGATAATTGATAAGAGGACGAGGAGGATTACGAGGCTGGGAGGGTGAAGGAAATTCGGAAGGATGGAAGGGATTAGGGGAGGGGGAGAGCGAGGAAGGAGAACCACTAAGTTTTAAGCGTGCCTCGGCATACGATATGTTATCAAGAGTTGCACAGGTATAAATTTGCTTCTGCCTTAAGTAAGCAGGGCAGGACACAGCGGACGGAAGATGTTCTCCCCCACAGTTACAGCAGATGGGCGGCAGGTTGAGCCGAGGGCAAACATCAGGCTCTGAATGCTTAGCACCACCACATCTATCACATCTCGGCTTGCTCTTGCAATCTGCATTAATATGGCCATATCTAAAGCAGGAGAAACACATAAGAACACGTGGGAAGTATGGGGACACAGAGAAATTAATATACATATAGGTGACTGAACGAGGCAGGTATTGTCCATGAAATTTAACCAGAACGGTTTTGGAAGGGGTGAAAGTAATTTCACCGTCTTTACGCAGTCTAATGTTTAATCTCCTGGCTGAGATAATTTTAAGTTGAGAAGAAAATGAATTAATTATTTCGCCCTCCGAAATGTCGTGAGGGACATTTCTGATAATGCCAGAACGCAAAATGTTAAATGTTGGTATAAGAACTTGAAGACCGGCCTCTTTCAGAGATGGATGCGAAAGAGCTGTGTTGGCTGCCTTAAAATCATTGAAGTGGACCGCCACTTTGTTCCGGCCCGAAGATTTGATTTCAATTATATTATTCCGCGCAAAACTTCTAATGACGCGAGAGACACAGCGAGCGGATCTAACCTAGAATTGACGCCGTCGTTGGAATCGGCGGTTCGACGGACGAAAATAATAAAGGGAGAACGATCCCCTTTGTCGATAAATTTAGATCAGAGCGAATCGCTTGACCGGAATCAGGTTCGCCCTGCGGAAGAACGCGAGCACGCTTACCCGGCGGCGGTAAAACGCTGGCGCCGCATACATCAACGCAGCTCTTTCTTGTACTGTTAGAAACAACTTTACGCTCATCATTAACCTTCGGGGGGG